GACGGCTAGGTACATGTACAGAACCTCCCGGGGTAGGGGGCTCACTAGCCTTGGCAAAGAATGCAAGTGCTGCTTAAGCCTCTGGAATGCCGCCTCTGCTTCTTCACCCCATTCAAACCTTGACCTCTTCCTGATTGCCTGAAAGAAATAAAGGCACTTGTCACCTGACCGGCTGAGGAACCTCCCCAATGCCGCCAGACAACCGGTCAACTTCTGGACTTCTTTTACAGTGCGGGGAGACTTCATGTCAATTACCGCCTGTATTTTTTCCGGATTAGCTTCGATGCCTCTTTGGTCAATCAAGAATCCGAGAAACTTCCCAGACTCAACACCAAATACGCATTTCTTTGGGTTAAGCATGACCCGGTGCCGCCTGAGTGTGGTGAAGGTTTCTCGCAGGTCTGCTAGGTGATCCGTCTGTAGCTTGGATTTGACTATCATGTCATCGATATACGCCTCTACATTCCTGCCAATCTGGTTGATAAAAACGGTGTTTATCATGCGCTGGAATGTAGCCGGTGCATTCTTTAACCCAAACGGCATCACCGTATAGCAGAATAACCCCTGATCAGTGACAAAAGCCGTCTTCTCCTGATCTTTCTTCCAGAGAGGTATTTGATGAAAGCCGGAATAAGCATCCATAAAGCTCATTAACGCATGGCCGGCTGTTGAGTCGACTAGGCTGTCAATCTTTGGAAGCGGGTAGCTATCTTTTGGGCATGCTTTGTTCAGATCTGTGTAATCCACACACATCCGCCAAGTACCGTTCGGCTTCTTTACTAGAACGACATTTGCCACCCAATCCGGGTAGTAGCATTGCCTAATGAACCCAGCATCCAACAGCTTTTTGACCTCAGCCGCTGCCGCTTGAGATCTTTCTCCACCATGATCCCTCTTTTTCTGCCTTACCGGCTGCTTTTTGGGATCTACGGCTAGCTTTTGGACAGCAAGATCCGGGCTGACGCCTGGCATCTCTTCCACTTCAAAGGCAAAGATGTCTTTGAATTCCTTCAGCAGCTTGAGCAAACCTTCTCCCAACCGTTCGAAGGCTATCGTCCCGACCTTGACTGTTCTTTCAGGACGGCTGTCATCTAGGATGACATCAAGGCAGTCACCAGCCGGCTGAGGTCGTTGGTCATCTGACCTTTCCCCGGCTAGTGATTGCTATTTCTCCTTTTTGACAGGTGCCAGTTGGTTCGCCTTTCTTTTCATACCGGCTGCCCTTGGAGCCGGGACTGCTGGGTCGCAGCTATCAATATCTATGGGCTCGCCCTGGCCGGCTGCACCCATAGTTGTCTTGACGTCAGAGAGATAGCACTCTCTTGCCGTCTTCTGGTCCCCGCTTAGGGCACCGACTGTACCATCATCTTTTTGAAATTTGACCAACATGAGGGACGGGATGATGACAGCCTTAGATGCGTTGAGGGTAGGACGGCCAAATATCATGTTGTAGGCGGACAGCTCCTCCACAACTAAAAACTTGACTATCATGTGGCGTCCTTGCCCCTTTTCACCCAGCCGGATCGGAAGATCTATGCTTCCGACCGGATGCACTACTCCACCCCCAAAACCGACTAGTGGGTGAGGAGCCTGGTGCATGTTACCGGATGTGTACTTGAGCTTGGTCAAGCACTGATAACTGATTAGGTCAGACGAGCTCCCGGTGTCTATTAGGATCCGGCCAACCTTCTGGTTGGCAACCTTGCATTCGATGACGATGGGGTCATCATGAGGCCGCCTGACCTTGCCCCGGTCCTTTTCAGAAATAAGGACCTCAGGGAAGATGTCTTTCGACGCCTGGCCCTCATCCACTGAGTTGACCAGCTTCCTGATGTTGTCTTTGGTGCCCCGGATGGTGGGACCCCCTCCGGCAAAACCGCCTGCTATGGTGAAGATGGTCTCTTCATCCGTCTCGGAGTTTACTGGGCCGGTTTTTGCCGCCTGCCCTTTCTTGGCCTGGGAATTACCCTTAGCCTTGGGTAGATAGGATTTTAGGGCCCCCTCATCTGCCAGACGGTCCAATAGCTGCCTGAGGCTATAGCAGCCATTGGTGTCGTGGCCAACATCCTCGTGGTATTGGCAATACTTGCTCTTGTCCCGTTTATTCACGGGGCTTTTCATTTCAGCCGGTTTGTCGAGAGACATCCGGTCTTTGATTTCCAGGAGGATGGTGGAGCAATCTTTTGTGAACTCGTATTTGGGGACATACGGTTCTGACTTCCGCCTGATCTTCTGGGCCGGCTGTCCTGATCGGTCAGCTGCCCAGACCCCTTTTCTCTTTTCTTCCTTTCTTGCCGGCTGATGCTGTTGCCGGCTCTCTTTTTTGTCAGACTTTTTATAATCTGACGGCTGCTTGACAGCACAAAGCTCCGTCGCCTGTATATAGGCTTCAGCTTCAATTAACGCCTCTTGGAGGGTAGCAACCCTCTTCCGGACGAGGTCAAACTTAAAGGTCGACCCATCCTTCAGACCTCGAAAGAAGTCTGTATAGGCCACTTCGTCTGATAGTTCTGGAATCTGAATTCTCATCAGATTGAACCGTCTGACGTACGACCGGAGGCCCTCCCGGTCGCCCTGCTGTATTGCCCCTAGGTCGAGGCTAGTCTTTTTGGCAGGAATATTCATTGAGAAATTTGACGTAAACAAGTACGCCAAAGTTCGAAAGCTGTTGATGCAACCGGCTGGTAGGTTACCAAACCACCGCTGGGCTATGCCCTTGAGGGTAGCCGGGAAGCATCGACACCAGACGGCATCATCTAACCCCTGGAGGTACATGAGGTTAGAGTAGGCCATTAGATGGTCTTCTGGGTTGGTGGTGCCATCATAGGCCCCCACCAAAACATTCTTGATCTTAGGCGGCTGTGCCGCCTGAGTTATCTCTGGTGAGAACGCCGTTGGCTGTTCCCCCAAATTTAGCAGGCGCAGCTGCCAATCCGTGGGTTGGAACGGCTGCTGCGCTTGCCCACCGAAAAGACCCGGTGACATGAAAGGGGATCCACCCAACCTATTCGGTGTGCCGAATAGGCCAGGCTGGATCACTTTGGGTCCAGACCGGGCAGAAGCTTCGCCCGTCTGGCTCCTAAGGTTCGTTCCCGTACGCCTGTGTGAGACGTCATGGAAACTGTCCGGGAAGGTCGACGTTGAGGCCGACGCAGACGCCTGACCTCGCTTCTCTTGGAGAAATGTGCGGGCGTCTGAGAATGTTTTCTTGGAGCCATCCGGTTGTACGTGCCGGATGGCCTTTCGCAGCTCCCCTTGAGGAAAACGGAGTCTGCTCGGGCCAAACCTTAGGCCCTCCCCCTCCTTTGCCTTTGGGTGAGGGGTAGGAACTCGTTCTTTGACCGCCTTCTTTCCAGAAGGCTTCTTGGCCGGCTGACCCTTCTTTGGAGTAGCTGACCGGATGAGGCTCTTGATCTCACCCTTGAAACTATTCATGAAAGACATGAGTTCGTTTCTTGTGACGGGGGCTGAGCCCTCCACCGTTTGGGCAATTCCAGCCGGTTGCCCGGCTGGGTTGTTGGGAGCAGCTTGGCTGATTTCCCGTTCTCTTCTATCTTTAGCACGAGGGTGCTTCGTTCTGAAAGACCCATCCGGGGCCACATATGTTTCAATTTCGTCGCCACTTTCATGGTCCGTCTGGACCTCAGGCTCGACCACAGGCCGTTTGCCCTGATTCGGTGACACAGTATCAGAAGTCATCTTAGAAGTACTCTCCCCACAGACGGCGCCAAATGTTTCGGGGTTTTTTGATGTGTCCTGCGGGAGAGTTACAATTCCAAGAATGCCCTTCGACGCCTGTGCCTGCAAAATCACGAAGACTCCTGGGGGTAGGAGCTCCGCCTCAGACGATCAAGTTAGTAAAGATACGGAGGTAGAATGCACGTAATGTGGAAGCTACTTCTCGCGTAATGGGAGAATTCTGCAATTAATATTGCTCGGGGTAAGTGTTTCTCTTTTTGAAGAGTATTCAATGTGAACAACAAATGTTCCCGCCTCCCATTAATGAGGGTCCTTCCACTATTTATAGTGGGGAAGGGATGGTTTCCCTTTTAGGGTTTAGAGGACACGTGTCAGCAGAGGATTGGAGCACTGCTGACCAACGGCTGGATGCCACGTGTCACTAGGCCATTGGGCCACGTGTTTTAGGATATTTTTACCCCAAACAATAGGGGTCAGGGAGACTATTATCATTGTGTACCTTTTCCGATTAAAAAAAATACGGTCACGAACGCATAACTGAAATTGGTACGATACGAACACAATGAAAGAAAACATGAAATTGACACGATTGGGAACCAACTTGAACATGACCTGTTTTGATAAATTGGTCAAATTATGCAATTATCCTTAACTTTATACAACGTATTGCTTATGCCTTATCCTACAATGTATTGCTTATGCCTTATCCTACATTTTAGATTGCTTTAGATAGATTTTGTGAACAACACGAAATGAACACGAGACCAATTATGAACACAACACGAAATGGCTATTTGCCAGCTCTAGGGGCGTTATTGATGAGTATGAGCAATGGAAGTCATATACATAATACAGTACGTAATACTTCTGTTTCGTATACACGATTAGCTCGGAATAAATCTTCAAAAAAGACTTCAACTATAGCGTTCTGTAATCAAAATAGATGCGCTGACAGACTGCACTGCACCTTGCTCAAGCCCCAGGACAGGATGGTAAATGCAAAGTTTGAGTAGAGTTGACAGAAGTTCTACGCATTTGTCCATCATGACCTTCCATAGTTCTATGGATTCTGAATATAAAGCTGGTCCACGGAGTATTAATCGTGCAAAGCACTTTAAGGTGAATCATACGAAGTATCATCTTAAATTTGATTTGAAACTTAAGAATCAGTCTCTCCCTTGTGATATTAAATTTGTCTAGCAAGGCATTCGTTTTTTGTGCATGGTCGTTGCTTTAAAGCTAATACGGAGTAAAATTAATTGATCTTTTCAGAATGATTGATGCCTATTGATCACCGGAGAGAAAGGGAAGGAGAGAAAACAAGATTTAATCACTCAGTATGATATAGTTAAATGTACACAGTATGCTAAGTCAAATGATACTCTAATTTTGTAGTGATTAATGGTACAAAGTTGTCAAGAACAGCAGCCGTATCGGTAAAATGCCCTTAGGCTTCCTACAGATCTGTACACATTTCTAGACAGCAAATTACAAGCTACTGTGGGGAATCCACCTAAATCAAAATCTCACTCGCAAGCTAACGAAAAATATGCCAGTCAGGCAAAATGTAAAACCGACTAATTTTCTTTGAGATCAATTTACATGAAGATCACACCAAAGAAAATGTAACAAATGGTGATCTAAAGCACGGATAGGTGAAAGGGGAGGGTGGACAGGGAGAAGCAATCAGGATTTTTGTTCTTGGCTACTACTTTGAACAGGGTCAGATGCACATCTATCCTCACTTGTCTGAGAAGCAGTGAGCTTTCGTAGAGACCTATATTGCAAGCGAACACTTTCTCCGCTTCCAACAATTTTGAGCAAATACCTGAGTGACACACCAGAACAAATTAACATAAAATGGATGGCATAATGGCTAACTCACCAGCATGTAAGAAATTAACAAAATTTATGATTTAATTACATTACCCAAAAAAAAAACATTATAAATAGAATAGATGTATTTTTCAAAAAAAAAAAAAAAAAGATGTATTTTTCTGTAGGAACATGGTCCTATTTCCTGCCTCAACACATGTTCCCAATCTAAATGGAGTTAAAATTATCAAAGCCCTAAAGAAGTAGAAGGAGATAAGAGGTGGAGCCGACGACTCACTAATTAGCTAAACTTAGGAACTATACTATAAGGTAACTAAGATGTTGTATCTCTTCCTTTTCTTCCAGAGGCTGGCATGCTAAACACAAGACGAAAGATATTCAAAATTATATATTCATGTCCAAGTAGATATTATACTTCAGTTTATCGAGTAAAAGGAGATGATTCTCCCAAAGATTATTACACAAAAACAACAAAGCCTAAGTCCCAAAATGATTTGGGGTCCCAAAGAAAATTATCAATTCCCAAAATTGAGTCAACTCACCATCCATTAAGACACTGAGATGTTATTACAGCTTCTTTTCCAACAAATTTATCTGGTGTTCTCCTGTTCCCCTGCACCATTTACACAAACATTCAGCATATTCATGCCAACCTTGAAGAAAATGGAATCCATTAAACAATTCACCTTTATCACTACTTTCTCATTTACTGAAAATGGATAATGAACCCTTTGCAGCCCACTATCTGGAGTAATATCGCCTTCTTCCTAAAAAATTTGCATGTAAATTAGTGAAAAGGATCCAATAGCTAAGGTGACAAGACCCAAAAAAACAACAACAAACAAAACAGCCCTGCTGCAAAGGTCCACACTCCACAGGTCATAGCTGGACCAACTGTCCAAACAGACCTCAACAACCATGATACTAAGGTAACAGGAAATCAGACATTTCAAAGGTAACAAGACTCAACAAGCTTAGACACGATAGTACTATAGTAGGTCTATTAAAGCTGAGTACATGGAGCAGCCATCTCATTATATTAAACCCCGTACATAATACAATATAGGACAAAAAATAGATACAACAACAACAACAACAACAAAGCCTTAGTCCCAAAATGATTTGGAGAAAAAAAAGATAATTTATGAAATTCTCTTTTAACTCCGAAAGAGAAATTCAACAAAAAAGATAATCCTATTACTCTTTTTATTTTATTTTTTTTTATTTTATTTATTATTAATTTTTTTTTTTTTGTTTTTTTTTTTTTTTTTGAAACAATCCTATTACTCATTTAGTATGTTGTCAGGAACCTTCAGTTGAGCTTAAGTTGCACGAAGTATCTCATTATATTATGCTCGTATATGTATCACTTCAAGCAATTAAACTACACTGGTGACTTAATACATTACACACCCACACGCTCACATACATTAGTACCTTGTTAATAAGATAAAATTTACACAGCCTTCCCAAGCCGAACAGTGATATTGTTTACAATAAATTGTTAAAAAAGACATTCTACAGAAGCAAGTGGTAACAGGAGTACATAATATACCAGTACCTTGTTGATCCTTCTTCCCGAATCTATCTGATCACCAATTTCTTTCCGTCGCTTTCGAAGAGTTGAATTATGGAAGAGTCTTCGATCATCCTCTTGCTTCACAGTTGCAGCTGCAGCTCTTAAAGCTGTATGGGAACCATAAAAAATATTTTAAAAAACAAAACAAAAAAAAAAAAAATAGATAACATGGAAAACAAAAAGGCAGTTAGATCCTCATTGCATAGTACAAAAATTTCAAATAAAGAGAATGGTTGTCGAGTTCCAATTTTACAAAATTAAGAGAGGAAGATAAGCTGCAAGTAAAGATGAATAATCAATTAAAAGAGAATTACCAAGGTTTGGAATCAATGACCGGGTCTCGATTTCTGTATGACACAGCATGCACCTGGACTGTCAGGTAAACAATCAGCAGTCACGAATTCTATTATATAGCATGTCAGAAGTTCTTGTCTGACTCAATAAATAAATCAAATACAAAATTCATGTAAATCTCTGGTAGAATCTCTTCCCTTTCACCATTACATTATCCATATCCTCAAAAGCAACTACAAATAGCAACAACACACAATCATATCAACAAGGAGAGTAATTTACAGCAATTCCAGTGATTGTCTCATTCTTTGCTCTAAGCCTTCAGCTCCTCTTAAAGATAGAAAATCTTAGCCAGTCAGACTAATTTAGTGATTGTTCATAATTCCTCTTAATCATCTTCAGGCATAAATTTAGATAGTGAAAGCTTCACATATCTGGAGGAACATATGAATCCAGCAATGCTCCAAAGGTTATAACTAACATCCCAAGAAAGAGGTTGAGGGTTCAATTTCTATCAGACTTTGCACAAACCTTCAAAACCCCAAAAAGATATTTAAAGGATTATGCCAAAAACCAAGATTGTAAGTGTAATATAGTGATAGGTCATTTTTTTTGCCATTTTTCCTCTTCAAGTAACATTAAAAAAAGAAGCTATTGGCTCTCGCTGGCTTTCACTTAATCTTATACGGCAATGAGGGACTCTTTATTCCTCAAAATCACTTCTAATAAATGTTAAAACTTTACAGATGGAAAAGGTTTTTTTTTAGATGATATACAAGATGTATTAAAGCACAAACAGTACAAAAATCATTCTTTGCATGCACAACTAAAGGACACTGAATTTAAAACCATATAACAGCTTACACCAAGATGAAGGTGAGGTCAAATACCACATATACCAAAACGAGATCAAGGATTACAGAAAAGTTATGTGTTGCAAGCTCCACAAATAAAATGATTTTTAGATGATTGGAAATAGATGCAACAACTATAGAAAATAAAGATAAAAAAAGGTGCAGATAACCACAACTAGATCCAAGGAAGTGACCTATGAATTCTCTCAATAATCATGGTTGCAGAAATAATGAGTGAAATATTTTACCAAGAAGCTGAGAAGAACTGTGGAAAATTATGATCAGAATCAAGAAAAGGTTATCCTACCGCTTCAATAACCTTTCTCAGCATAAGACCCCCAAATGAGTGTCCACAAGAGACGACCATGGCATCTTCAAGAAATACACCACTGCACATCAAAGTAGACCAGTAAAAAACAACTTATATTCATAATCAACCAAGTAGACCAGTAAAAAACAAATTATGTTTATAATCAACCAAGTAGACCAGTAAAAGACAAATTATATTCATAAGTCAATTTTAAAAACTAGATTTAGAAAAAATTTACTTAAAAAAAATGTAGAGGGAAATTAAATTACTCATTGGCAGTAAGGAACTTCAGAGCTTTAATAATATTGTAAAACATCACCATATCCAAGATACTGTAAGCTGCAGTTAGCTTTTACCACTAATGTAGCAGTTTGTTCCCTTCTAATCAAACATCTAACATAGTTATTCTTGCATTGTTATTTAACTCTACACACTGGAGTATTTTGCAATTCTCTTTTTACAAATTATTGAAGATCCAAAATGCAAGTATAACAATAGGATTAAGGCTCCATATTGTAGATTCAGTGCAAACTGTATTTATTTGGGATTTTGCTGCTGTTGTCATTGATTTTATAGTTTAAGTATGCTCAGAACTGATAAACATCAAATCTATAAAAAGTTTGATTCGTTCTCAAAAAAACAGACCGAAAGCTTTACCAAATCAAAGTTATAACAAAGATATTAAAGGTCAAACGACCTGACCCTGAGTTAAAAAAAGTTAAAGCATCTGAGAACACCCAAGTACAGAGCTAGAAAACTGCAGAAAAGTAACAATGAATAAAAAGGTAAAAGAAAAAAAAAATAATAATGAAGCAGAGAGCAAGTACAATAGAACTTACGATAAAGGATCTGAAAGTACACTTCTCAAAGATGGCTCCTTGTTAATATTGTTTTGCTCCACCTGAAATAGCAACTCGCAACACAAGATTACAACTAAGTTAATGGACATAGTGATGAGTCTCCTTAAAAGACTACAGAGTCTGGGAGTATTTATATGAGTATAGTGGTTGATATTGTACCATCCTATGAGCCTATGGAGTTTTGGCTTGGATCCTAATGACAAGTTATATTGCTTAAATTTGATGTTGTTAGTATCTTATGGGAGGGAACAAAATAAACTTGTTGCTCATATTTATTGCTTTAGTAGGTTTTGATTAGTTGATAACGTATTTTATGGGCCTTTTGGTTGTAATTTTTGTTAGCTAATTGAGCTTCTTTGGTTTATTAACTAAGCTACTTAGGCTTATTTTGGACTCCAAGTTGAGTTAGTTTCCTAAACTTAGCTATTTCCTAATCCAAGTTGGAATAGAGAGCAAGACATATTTTAGTAATTAATATAATCGTCGGGTTGCACTTTCAGGGAGGACATAATCTGGACCTAACTTCCGGATATGGACGGATAATATAGCAAGGTCAATTTGTCCAATTATTGAAACTTAAACCATTTCTAGTTTCATAGTTAACAACCAGAACACATATCGGTAATACCAGCTTCAACTCCAATTCTCTTCTAAATGAAATCAAAATGCTTCTTGTTAACATTGCAAACTACCTCCTTCATACATTTGTTGGTCAGCAAAATTACATGGATTTTCTAATTTAGTTACAGACAGATCTTATAACAAAGCTTAAGCCTTAAGCTGGCTGTAGAGATGACTTACATATGTACTGTCACTGTATTTGCACAAGGTATCTTCTTCTGCAGAGAGATCATCCATGAATTGGCTTACAGATATGGGAGCATAACTGTGAGGAATGACATGACCAGCAGCAGTAATGGGCGAACAGTCCAGAATGGCATTGCTCTGCGGCATAAGCCTAAAGGCTAATGAAGTCCTGTAACGGTAGAGAAGTAAGCCTTCTTCTATTCTATACAGAATTCACACCCCACCCCATTCCCCTGACTTCTTTTTTTCTTGGAAACAGGGGTTGACAGTGGATAACCAAGTCCTACATTGCAATACTAATGCAAAATCCGTTTGAGTACCTTCCAACACAACCGGTACTTGAGGAGGTATCAGATGCTGCACGATATGTGGCAGCAGGACGCAGGCCTGCCGTTGCATGACTAAGTGCCTTTCCCGTCAGCAATAAAACAGAACCAGAACCTATCCCACTATCTGCCAGGTACCATCGACCATTTGGATCACAGACCTATGAAGACAAATAGCTGACGGAAATCATTTAAAGACCACAACTTATAGAGCAGGAAAGCAACAAAATCAGCCCACCAACAAGGCGGGAAATCTTAAGCTAAAGCAAGAAAACAAATAAGCTGCACATGCGATTGTAAATATGTAATAATTGAAGGACAACATGCTGGAATCAAAAGATATGGCTGCCCATACCTGCAGGCCAGGAGTATCAGAAGATATCAGAGTTAACAAACCCTTCTCATATTCACCATTGATAGATGGCTTGCCTCCTCCAATAGCCCCTTTTCCATTTTGCATAGGAGAATGGAAATAGGTTGCAACAAGAACAGATGATGATGCCTCGTTAGCAGGTAGCGGGTTATCATCAAGGAGCTGGCTAAAAACACTGTTCAAAACAGATTATCAACTGTTAAGCAAGAGCAGGAACATAAAACTAGGAGTCAAAAGAACAGTGAAAAGAATATTATCAGTAACATACTCGCTGCGCAGACGGAGGTGCCTAGCAATAGCACACAATACAGCACGAGCAGCTTTACCTAGGCATCTAAAAATTTCAGCCATACATGGAGGAGATGAATCACTATCTTCCAAAGCCCTTCAAACAAAAGCTGATGGAGTGTCAATTTCTCATCGATGACTCAGGATAAATATGCACAAAATACATTAAATAAAAAGGCGCGTCCAAGACAATTAATAAGGGTAATCACTCAAAAGTTGCCAAAAAAATTGAACTTCTCAATACACAACATCACGACTTTGAGCTTGGTTCTTAGATTATAAGGAATATCAGCTACTTCAAGCAACCACAACATCACGTCTTTGAGCTTGAAAACATGGATAGTTTAGAATTTAGGATGCCAAGTTGCCAAATACACAGCTATTGTAGCTTCTTGTTGCTAGCTTACAGTTATTTGTTGCACCCAAAAGCAGCTCTATTTTACCAAATTAGCATTGTGGCTTTCCAAATTTCCATATATATGATGGAAAACTGCTGCAATATATTTCCTTTTTGCCCATAGAAATCAACAATTTGGGCCCAGCTCCAGCAGCTTGAACTACTCCTACTAGACATGTAATCCATATACTACGCTGTTCCAACCCAGGAAAACAATAGCTGAATAATGTAGATATGACGATGCCTTTTGAGTCTTATTCACGGCATCAAAAGTCATAATGCATTCTCATCCTAAAAGATTGGACTATGAACATTGTGTCGGAATGGAGAGACCAAACCCAAAGCCAAACCCATGATACTATTAAATGGTGGGGAATAAAAATTTAAGGGCATTAAATGAAGTGGTTGTTTGATTGACAACAAAAGGTGAAAACGGGGAAAGTAGACATTTTTCATGGGAATCAAAGCTTCCCAAAAAAAAGGGAAATAAATCAACAATTTTCCCTTTGATCAATCAAAGTTCATAAGAAATTCGATTTCATTAAATGCCAACTAAACAAGATAAAATTCCTAGTTGCACGAGGGAATTAATTTTCCATGAAATACAACATCCCATAGGAGTTTACTTCCCATGTAAGCCAAACAAGCACTAAGAATACAATCTAACAGGCAAAGTATGCATATAAGGTTGGAAGTTCATTTGAGGTCTCAAACCATTCTTTTCTTCCCTAATCTTCAACAACAGCAATAGGGATACATCATACATTGTAAATCCCGTCGAGAAGATGTAGTAAATCCCGTCAACAACAACAATTCAATTGATTTCCAGATGTACATTGCTTTACCTCTAACTTCATAATAGTCCAAAAGGCTCCTAGTTCTTAGAATCATCCTGCCCTTTTTCTCAATTAAGCTCTCATTTTCCAACCTAATTCCACTATAAATCGAATATCAGCACCAAAATAAATAAAATAAACATACATACATACATCAATCTAATAATCCAATAAATAAAATGAAGTATTAATTCAATCTAAATTAGAGGGAAATATATATATATATATATATATATATATATATATATATATATATATATATATATATATATATATATATATATATATATATATATATACTTTTTAAAGAGCAAAAGCAAAAATACCTTCCAGCCCTATACATGTAAACACCTCTACTTCCTTTCCCAACAGTTCCAGCCCTATTTCTGAAATACAGCCTTGCTGAATCCAACCCACACCTCATGATCGCGGCATCGTTGCTTCCGAGCTCAAGAACCGCGGCATTATGCCTCATTAGGGACCCAGAAAGGGCCTCCACAGCCTTCAGGTAAGTCCCACAAGGCGCCCCATCATATGGGGCAATATCCGAAACCCGAACCCTCGCCAGAATAACATCCGGATGGAAGGAAGAAATGGGAATGGCATGGTCAGCGCGGTGGGAGGACGGAGGAAGGGGTGGAGGCAACGAGGTACGAGGAGATAGAGTTAGCGGCGGAGGTGGCTGACTATGGTGATGATGATGATGATTTTGTAGGTTGCTGTTGTTGTTGTTTGTACTATTATTATTGTTGTTGTTTTGAGAGAGTGACTGAGACATCATCATCACCATTAACAACAACAGCAGCAGCAACAACAACGAAACGAATAATCTGCGAACAACATTTACGGTTCACTCTCATTATTTTAGGTTTTACAGCAATGATTCCGTACAAAAAAAACAAAAAAAAAAAAAAAAACAAACTGGGGAAAATTACAAATGGGTTCAAAATTGAACCATTGAATAAACAAATTTTTGCAATTTTGTGTGATTGTTTTGTAAAATAAGTATGTAATTGATTTGAATTAGCTAGTTTGAAGCAGAAAATTGTTCAAAATTTGGGGGAGATTTTATAAATTTAGGAGGGTTTTTGACAGATTAAGAAAAAATGGTGTGTTGTTGCTCAGTATACGAGGAAGCAAGGAACTGGTGTAGAATACAAGAGGAGAGAGAGTGGAAAGTGGAAAATAGGAGCAATTTTTTGGGTTTTATTTGTCAGAAAGTCTGAATGTTTAAAGCTTCATAAAGTTGTTTTCAAATTACAAGATTCAAGTGTTTGTGTTGCTTTGTTACCAATTGGTTCTTATAGTCAAATCTCATACAAGTAAATTTTTTTTTATATAATTAGACCATATTTATGAACGGGATATATATTTAATTTGCAAAGAATGATACTTTTGATAGAAAGATACGAGTAAATTGATTTCTTTAAAGAAAATGTTTATAGTGTCTGAGCATTAAGTATTTTGGAGAGTTGTGGTTAAAAGTTGTAATAACAACTCTTTTATGGTTCTTATATATAGGTTTTGGTAGTAGTAGTTAGGTTTGAATGCATAGGTCGTAAGTCCATATCCTTTGTGCTTATGGGAGGAAATGAAGACCAAATCATGGAGAAATTTCACTGTAAAACTTAAAAAATAAGAAGTGATGGGAATCATTGCTACAAATTAAGGTTGAGAGTGACAAATTAACACTAAGCTCCCACTTCATTTTTCATATGTTTACAAAATCGAAGTTATCATGTATAGATAGCTTAGAATTGAGATAAATCATGTTATGAAGCAAATCAAATGATCAAAGATTAACATTTTTATTTATATTAATTCTTTCAAAGGCGAGTCACCATGAGTAAAGAATATGCACCGGTTATGAGATAACTTGGAAATTTTTGATATTCTTTGGCCTATTATTATACTATAAATAGTTCAATTTTATTTTTGATATATCCAACCTTGAGGGTTAATTAGTACTTGTATTAAGTATATTTCCTAAATAGTTTTGTAACCCTTTGTATTAGGTTAGAAATTTATGACAAAATCTTATTTTCATAGTATGATTATAATCTGTCCAAAAGATTGATTGTATAAAGGTTCAAGATTTGGTTCCCAAATGAGGGTGAAAATTGAGTGCCATAATGATTAACATGGAATGCTGTAATCCAATAGTTTTTAAACATATTTCAATTGACATTACAAATCCCATATACATGTATATGCTATATGTAACACACTATTAGATCAAAGATTTTGCAGCTAAACAAGGTGAACATGTAACTTCATCATCTCGACCTCGTTTCCTCTGAGAGCTATTTCTTTCCACAAAAAAAGGGTCAATCCAATGCCTGACTTGTAAGTTACAATTCTTACAAAAACTCATTTGTAGATCCATTCATTTGACCGAGCGCCAGATTCATCCATGTCTATGAATATGCTTACAGCCTGCAGCAAAATAAGCAACAGATTCTGCCTTAGTATTCTTTGAATACTAAATTAACTGAGCTTTGTAGATTCATTCATAAGATGACGAAACCATGCTCTTGTCAGCTAATTCTTTGAACATGAAGCCAAGCACTTTTTGTCCACAACCTTTAATTTTACAGCATTAATGTTCAAATGTATATTCATACATTGATGCATTCATAGAGATTGTCCTTGAGTTTATGTTGCTACCTTTCCAATTTGTGGCCGCTCCTTTTGACTTTGCAAGGCTGCTTCGGATATGTGAGACAGCAACCCAACATCTCAAATTGTTTGCCACATCATCGAGCCTCAATATGTACTCTTCTTCAGTTAACGGAAATGATCTCTGAAATAGTAGTACACGGATAAAAATACTTATAAAGCATTTAGATGACTTTGCAAAGTTTATGGACAAGAAAAGGTAACTATAAAGACTATAAATCTATTAAAAGATACTCTAAGCTTCAAGCAAACTAGTGCCATGCCAATCAGCTCTCAAGTCAAAGGTAAAACCGTTGGATATATCCTGTAACTTGGTTCCAGTGTTCTCACTCAGGCATAGAAAGTGAAAAGCTCTAGTATGTTTATCCAATTCAAGCAATATAATAAAAATCTACAGCCAACATATCGTCATACCTGCACAAAAGATTGAAAAAATAGCATAATTGGGAATGATCACATTGTAGAGTGCATTAAAACCAGAGTTTTTTCTGTACATGATTTACAGTTAATCTTGACCCTTATTTAACCCCTCACCTGTAGAAAAGACTGAAAAACATAGCATGATTGGAAATGATCATAATAATATCTAGGAAGAAATTGAATCCATATAATTTTTTGTACATGATTTACTGTTTAGTGTTCATTATGACCTGGGCCTGAAGGACCAGGTAAAAAGATGTCAAGCCTCGATATTTCCATCCATATTCCCTCTGCTTTCCAGATCTATCTAATAATGTATATCATCCTAACCTTCATAACCCCACACTAGGGGGTGGCGGCAGCAGAGGATATGTGCCTTAAGGTTATGAAACACACGTCATTTTTCTGTATCCATCAGCAGTTATATTGTCGGAATTGACATTTCACCTTAAAATAACCTTCTTATAAAATCCAATCAGATTACTCAAATCCAGCTTGCACTTTTCTAACAAACCTCATTTCCTCTCTCTCACAATACAACTAATGCTATACATACATGACATCCTCATTTCTGCAACTTTAATCCTTATGAAAATGATGTAGAGTTCTATAGAATCCCTGATGAGCTTCTACCTTTCCTTTCATCCAACTTTGATAAACATTTAACATAATCTGGTCAATGAAACTATTTAAACTATAACATTCTTGTTGTTGAAAAATCCTCTTGAGGAATTTGTTTACTTCCCATTCTAAATTAACATCACCTCCATCTTCTTTCCATGTTCTCCATAAACCGACCCTTAAGGACAGTAGCATATTCTCCAAAGCTCCAACTTAACAGTTACACTATATACAGAGTAAAACTGCACCTCAATATAAAACTTAACCATATATGTCGCTACAAGACATCACTCTGCAAACTATGACTATAATGGTAAGAAGCTACATTATGAAAGATTGACAACAACAAACAAACAAAAAAAAAAAGTACAACTGCTGCATTGAAAAGTTAAGAAATTTCCACATACCTGCTCCTCCCTATATTTTCCGCATGACATTCATTGCAAGAAGGTTTCTCCCCATAAACTCCTGCAGTAATACAGAAATATAACAATAGAATCTAAAACAACCCAGTTTATATAAACTCAAGAGAAAAAAAAATTGAGTTAACCCAGGGTGTCTAGTCCAACAAGTAGAGACAAGCTGATCACTCAGTCTAAAAGGCGAGGAGCTGGGGAAACTGTAAACTAAACCATGTACAGGTGAATGTGATACAAAAGGTGTTCATCAGCTTGATAAATTTAACTACTAGGAGATATAATTTTCATCAGTGGACAATTAAATTACTCGATGAATGAAAGAATGGTGACATAAAATTACTGTGCTAATCATATCTATACTGAAAACAAGATTCTAATGACCAATTTGAGGCAGGATAATTAAAGATACATGCCCACCTTTGGGAAGAGCATAATAAGTAGTTCAAAGTAGACAAGATACATACAAGAGACAAGAACAAACCCTTCTTATGAAAATGAACAAAAAGGGATCTGCTAAGGAAAGCAAGGTATTTCAATACATAAAAATTGTAATGGATTTTTAAAAAAAATTTAAAGAATCAGTCAAATTAGAATAAGGAAAAAGATACCTTGTTTATGAGTTGCACATCATAGGACCTTCCATAATTGTTTCTTATAATAGCTGCAAGGTCTACCCCACTAAACGTAGAGTCATCCACTCCAATAATTTTTTGTCCCTATAACTGTCTCTACTTGCCTGAAAAGTGAAGCACAAAAGGACATATAATATAGCCATTTTAACAGTATGGATCAAGAAAGGCCACTAAAAGTATATTTAGACATGATTGGCTTTAAGGATGGGATCATAGAAAACAAAGCAGCCTACATAGGTGACATTTCTTTGTAGAGATAAAATGAACGTTGCCTCAGTGCACACACTTTATAGTCCTGATGGCTATCCCCGAATCTCCAATACTCTTGCTGGCCTAACAAAATTTACCCAAAAAAATCATCATCATTCCTTGCAAATTCTACATGGCAATGCAAATGTAAATTTTGTGTTCAGTAATCAGCTTGGAGAGAGTGAGAGCACAGTTATTAACATGCTTGCTAAAATCTGGGAGTCTGTATGACCAATGAGGAATCATTAATAAAATGAGACCGTACATACTGCTGTAAAGAAGGTTACAAAGATCAGAAGTAATTTGGCTATTATTTGTTCGTCTTTCTTCTAGAGTTCTAGATAATTGCATCACTGCATCTATCAGCTTTTCAATAAATCAAAACCTTTTAAACTTATATAATCACGTCTTTTGCTCGTGAACCATCATAAAATATAAAAAAGGATTCTAACTCCCTCTAAAGCATGGAAACACCCGGACCAGAATTGGGTGAATATTTTTTAAGCTGTCTTTTGTCAGTAAACTTAACTTAGCACTAACATTAACAGTAGGATCTCTAATTTTATATTTGGCCCTGCGTGGCATAACTATCTAGGGTGATGCTTCACCTCTCTTTTGTCTTAAACTTGGTCTGTATGATTTACTACTTCCTTATGATAATCTAATTTAGCTGCTCCTTTTCCAAAATAAATAAATAAATAAAATAAAATAAAATAAAATGCAGAAGAGCTTTGAGGGTTTAGGAGAAAGAGCTTTAGTTTGGATAATCAACTTACATGGTAACTTCTCGGCTAATCTGGAACAGCTAGATTCCCCTAAAACTTCTACACGAAAGCTAAAACTTGCCTCAGTAAATTCAACTAATGCAGCTCCAGTGAATGGATCAAAACTTAGTAGATCCATGTGCAATTACATAAAATGGTAACATTGACCCCTTAGCAAAGTAAACACGACTATGTTATCGATCTTAAATGTCATGTCCTGTTGTAACTGTACTATGGCTTAGATTTAGCTAAACGTGAGCTTTAGCTCAGTTAATATTCAAAGGCAGTTCATAAAAGAAACTCACAGGCAGATAGCAAGCAAGCACAACAATTGCATACAAAACGTACAGTTAATCTACTTTGTTTCATATGTTCCAAATCCCAGGCGTTAAGGTTATTTTGCCTACAATCAATTAAAACACATTATATATATATGACTTATAAATAGCCAATTCACAACATTCACTCACGATGTTTGTTTTCTCAGCTCTGTCACAGGCTCACAGCTGATCACATATGATTTAGTCATCGCTTACTCAGTTCTCAAAAACTTTTCAGCAAATCCTTGTCTGTATCACCAATATTTGGATCAGAGAGTAAGCCCACAAATGATGATACAGTGAGATTATCAGCAGCAAACTCTTTGATTCTCATCAACCTGACAAGCTCTAATGCTCTCCTAACATCATTTCCATCTATAAATCCTCTAATAATTATATTAAAGGTGCAATCATCTGGAAAGCATTTATTGTCCTCCATATTCTTTAATAATTCATCGGCTTTAGCTAGGAACCCTTCTTTAAAAAAACCCTTTTATCATTATGGTGTAAGCATGCACATTATGCAGCCTTTTAGTTGTGAGAAAGGAGAAGATGTCCACCACTTCTCTAAGGCGCTTAGCATCACACAAACCATCCATTAGGATACAGTATGTAACAATATCAGGGACGACTCCAGTAATCTTCATTTGCTTCATTGTTGCGATTGCCTCATCTATTTGTCCATTCTTACACATGCCATCAAGCAATGAATTCCAAGTGATTACATTTGGCATAAGTCCGTGAGCTTCCATTTCCTTGAAAAATTGGTGTGCAAGCTTAAGCTGATTGACTTTGCACAAGGCATCTATAAGAGTGTTGTACGTGATAACATTAGGGGTTAATCCTTTTTATATCATCTCCTGGAAGAGACCAAGAGCTCTGTCAATCATTTTAGACTTGCAATATCCATTAATTAAGCTGCTGTAAGTAACAACATTAGGTACACAACCATTGTTGACCATCAAATCCATAAGCTTCATCTCACCACGTAAACAATATCCATCTAACAGAGCTCTGTAAGTGATGATATCGGGAACAAATCCTCTCTCAGTCATGTGAACAAAAATGTCCCGTGCTCCACCAACCTGGCCATCTTTACAATACATGTCAATCAACACGCTGTAGGTCTCAATGTCAGGAGTTATGTTGTTCCCCAACATCTCAGTCAGCATTTCTTGAGCTTCTTTCTGTCGCCCCAAAGTGCACATACCTCGAATTATGGTAGTATAGGTGACAACATTAGGGGAAATTCCCTTGACATTCATCTCCTTGAAAAGGCGGAGAGCCTGAGGTAATAACTGGTCTTTACAGAGGCTATCAATGATGGTGTTATAAATGACAACATCAGGCATACAATGTCCACAAGACTCCATATTTCTAAGGAGTTTGAGAGCATCAACATTTTCACCGGACCAACAAAGACCTTTGAACATAGAACCATAGGTGACTAATGTGGGTTGGTAGCCAAGCTTGACAACTTTATACAACAATCGAACGGCTTTGTCCAGTTGATTAGAATGAATAAAACCATTTATGCGAGTAGTAAAGGTGACAATATTAGGTTGATAACCAAGCTTAAAGGTAAAAGCGAGAAGAGACAACCCAAAATCAACATAGCCTAAGCGACAGTAGCAATTAGCGAGGATGGAAAGGGAATAATCATCTTGACGAACACCCAACAAATGGAGCTGCTTAGAGAGAAAAATGACAGTGGAGAAAGGTGGGTGTGGGTTAATTTTCAACATAGCACTAAATAATATACAGAAATCAATGATAGAAGGAAGAGGGCGAATCAATTTCATATGATCAAAGAGGGAAAGGGGGATTTCAACATTAGTAAACCCTAATTTGGATTGTTGTCTAACAAATTTGAGAAACAATTTGGGATCATCACATTAATCAACATCATAATCATAACGAGTAGCGTAATTTCGGCAAAATAGAAATTGAGAATGGAAATTGGGAAGAAAGGGAGAGAGATGGAGAAGCTTGCATCCGTGAGAACGAAGAAAAGCTTCAGCAAAAATGGCGGATTTGCTCCTCATAATGTCGTAAAATGTCTTGCTGAGCTCAAATTACAAGCCCTTAATAACTTCTTTCAGAAATTACTTTAAAGTAGTTTGAGAACAGAACTTTTACAGGGCTTTTGACATGTTGGAATGGGAATTTGGGGATTATATGATTGGAATGGGAATGGGAGTTGGAAGGTGGGAATACATAAAATATGTCCAATGTCTTGTTTGAAAAGAGATGGGGATAGATGGGAAATAAATTTATACAATTACGAAAACACCTTTGCAAAAACCATTCTATTTTCTATTTCATTAATGACATTTTAGTCAAATCACTATTTGTTTCCAATCTTCTATAACTATACTAAAACAGAGGGTACTACAAAAAATAGCTTCACGTGTCACCTTCACAAGCAAAATTTTCCCGCTCTTTTCCGCTATCCTAATTAAAGCAAATATTCACTAAATAATCTAAGACCTTCTATTTCCTATAAATATTACGTATAATATACATATATAAAAAAAAATATCAGTCTATATATATACTAAAATATTATTGATTGATCTTATATAATATTTTTTGCCAAAAACAATATAAATTTTATTGATCCTATGTAGAAAATATTTTCATGAACCTTAACAGTAGAAAATTTCACAATATATTTCCACTATATATCAATAAAGAATGAAATATACCTGATAAAATAATATCTTTGACAAGATATTGAAAAAAGATAATATACAATAACAGAATATAACAAAATATTTGCAAAAGACATAATATGCATGCATTACGGCTGTAATATACAAGGAAGATAATATCAAGTTACTTCCTTGATACTCCAATATTTAATACTTAATTTTGCCAAATTTTAATACTCCATGATAAATTTTGTACGGGTTCTATACTTCGCAAATTCCACAATCATACAAAACTTACGTATATATCTTATTATATACATGTATGACGGATTGTTAAATTTGTAGAATATAATATACATGACGAGTGTCACCTTGTAATAAAAAAAAAAAAATTCAGCTCTTTTTCACTATCCTTAATAAAGCAATTAGTTTACTAAATTATTTAAGACCTTTTATTTCCTATAAATAATACACATAAATATTTTTTATTCAAACAATTGTTATAGATTTATCTCAAAAATATTGATAATGGATACTAGTTTGTATGCGTAATATATAAATACCAAATCAAGCTAATTATTTCTTAACATTTAAAATGTTTTCCTTCTCCACATTTTTGCCTCTAATTAGGTAATGGTCTAAAGTCAGCAATACACACGACAATATTATACAGTCAATTGATCATATATATATATATATATATATATATATATATATATATATATATATATATATATATATATATACGGGGAGGTTTCGCTGAAAACAGAGCTTATTGTGAAAGAAAACTAAAAACAAGCAATCTTAGCCATTGAATGTTCACTAGATAATCTGATGGTGTGAAACAACCCATAAGATAATGTATATAGATTTTGGTAACATTACATAAAGGTAACTATATACAAAAATAAGGTAATTATATTGATTTGACAACATTTCATTAAGGTCACTATATATAAAATTAAGGTAATTATATCAATTTGACAACATTTACATAAAGGTCACTATATACAAGAATAAGGTAACTATATCAATTTTTACAATATTTACTTAGAGGTCACTATATACCAAAATAGGGTAATTATATCAATTTTGACCACATTTACATAAAGGTCACTATATACAAAAATAAGATAACTATATCAATTTTGACCACATTTATACAGAGGCCACTATATATAAAAATAACGAATGTCACTATATATAAAAATAAGGTAATTATATCAATTTTGACAACATTGACCACATTTATATAGAAGTCACTATTTACAAAAATAAGGTAACTATCATCAGATAACTTCTCCTTCTCCTCCTTGTCATCAGATAATTTCTCCTGCTCCTCCTTGTCATTAGATAACTTCTCCTGCTACTCCTTATCATAAGGTAACTTCTCCTGCTCATTAACATCTGATGCTTTCTCTAGCTGTTCCTTGTCATCTGAACCTTTCTCCTATTGTCCTTTATCCTCTGATTGTCCCTTCTGAGTAACACTTGGGGAAGAAATCTTTTCTTGATGAATTAGGCATTCGTCAATAATGGAGCTGCTCAATTTTTTATTGATAAACTCATACAAGGCCTCTACTTCACTCTCTATGACCGTAGACAAAGAAGTCATCACTGATATATGAAAGGTGATTCATAATAATCAACAGAGGTTTCCACAAAAGCAAAACAAGTATTTGAAAGGTAAGAAATATTTTGGGATATGATGCACACTCACAATTTTACTCCTTGCTAATAGCTAGGTTATTCCTCATTATTCAGCACCATTTGGTCTTCTATGATAAACAATTTTTGGAATTTGGCAAGTGCTTATCTATTCAACTTTAGCACTTTATAATATGGTAGTTTACTGAAACTTCTAAGAAGAATATTTCAAAATATACTAGATATATTGGCTAATCTGCATAGCAAATCATGAATGCTTCGAAGTTGAAACAAGAATTTCAACTTACAAATTCCCATGAACCCGGAATTTTGATTCAACCCATATATTCCCCAAATTAACAAAAACAAAGTATAAATAATTCAAGAATAAAAAAAATTCATAATAATGAAACACATGCAACCGAAAAAATCATAATCGAACAC